TTGCAAAGACCAGGTTTCAGGTCTACATTTTTCATAAATAGAGGCTTCCTGCACAATGTGTACTGCACTCACATGGCACCAAGAAACGAGTCTTGAACCTGGTGACTGATGTCACTCAGCACAATGCCTGTCACAGAACAGGCATCAGTAAGTGTGAGTGGACTAAATTTAAGCTGATGCTATCTAGCCACCTGCTTTCTAATTAACCCAAGGAACTTATGTTAATGTGAGCGAGAGTGGGAAGGGGCACTAGGAGGGGTCGAGAGAGACTAGGGAATTGCTTGACTTGGATGGAATGACTTCAGCGGTCCCTCAGAATGCCTGAGGAAACTGGTACACTCTGCAACATGGTTGTGATGTTTGGGTGATCAACCATGGAGATTTTTCCCAGAATGTAGCTCTGAAAGTCCGATGTCCTAGACAACTCCTCCATGGTACCCTACAAAATGGTATTGAGGTATTTCCAATCTCCATGTCTGGGTGCTCTGCTTATCTTCTGTACCCAGCGTTCTTCCTTCCCCTTTTTAGTAACACAGAACTTTTTGCTTTCCTCTTCCCACTTGCTGTCCAGCTCTGTTCCTCAGCTGGATCCAGAGCCCCAGATTGAAGCAGTGGGCCCTGTCCACCTCTCTGATGCATCTGCCCTGGGAGTGGATGGCCCAGGAGTCAGAGAAATTCATGTCAGGAAAGTGAAGAGTTTAGGAAGGGGGCATGGAGCCAAGTGGAGACAAGCAGATGAACTCTGTCGAAGGAACTATCTAACTTTGGGCTAGGAGGGGAAGGCAGGCTTCTTTCATACCACTGGGAGAGGCAGAGGGTGTTACTAGGTTTCCATGCTGAGCTCATTTTGTAAGAGAAAGTAGAGAACTCAGTGTTAGGTTGTATCTAGCTCTTGGGTGCTGTGGTTCATTGCCAGATCTTGTCTCAAAGTTAGCTCAAGAATCTTCAAGCATCTTCCTTTCTCCATAAATGACCTCTTCTGTTGTCCTGTGCCCAGCGGCAGTCAGCAGATCAAAGGGCTACAGAAAAATGACCTTCGTTATCCGCTTAAAAAGCAAGCAGACATGGCTTTGGTTATGTCCCCTTGGGATTGTTATCGTGTCCCATTTGAGACTGCCTTTCATTTACTTTGTGTGTGCTTTGTAGAACGGGATTCTTACCTTCTGGAAATATTCTGCACCAAGATGGCAGGAAATTAGGGCACAGTGGACTCAGCTTCCTCAGGACTCCCTGGGGTACCCATGTCACATGAGGTTATCCCCAGGCAACACAGGGCCTATTCTTTAACCTATAGCACAGGTGTTGGAAAGTTGCTTCTCTCAGGCCCCTTGCATGATTCTACACTGCCATAGGCCAGGACTCCCTGCATGGAAGCCTGGTGCACCTGCCTGTTCTGGCTGACATTCTGGTTTCCAAGCCACCCCAGGGTACCCGACCTCTGTTTAATTCTGTTTTAAATTTGAGACTGGTGAAGACTTACGATAAGCAAAAAAGCATATTTTAAGGAGATTTTTTTAAATAAAGAATTTAATAATAGCTTGTTTGGTCACTCATTTATACCCAATACAATACAGATGTGCAGAGTTCTGACTGTAACAATTGAAACAGAACACATTTCATGTGCATATGTTTTGTCTCCTCTAGTTTAGTACATGGCACAGTAGGTACTCAATTTCATACCCATTGAGGGAATCAGTCTCTTCAGGCTTTGGACACTCATTAGTCCAATGAACTCAAAAAGTAGGGTGTGGACTGTGATGAGTAATTAAAGGGTAGCCAACATGGTGAAGGGTGGGACCGTAGGAGATCCTACTGCATAGACCAAAGGCAACTCCCCTGCAATTATATCCCCTAGGAATCAGTTAGGAGGGGCACCTCTGAATGACCATGATCACACCAGGGCTGTCAGGAAATTCCCCACAGCCTCCACTTTTTCCTTCTCTGTCATAACCACTACCACCACTGTGACATCATCACGCCCTTGCTGACTATCCCCAGCACAAGGCCTGGTATGCAGGAGGCTCTCAGGAAGTGTCTGGGGAATGAACTCAAGGGTGCCTGGGCCCCTGGTCCTCGGTGGGCTCTCCCCAGCCTGTCTCTGCTGAACGTGGATAGGCTCAGTTCGTGCTGCAGCATTTTTGCAGGCACCTAGAAATCTGCTGTTTGTTAGCCTATGTCTTCTGCCTTAAGAAGCCAGACTTTGCTGCTTGGTAAATTCTCTGTTGAGACATCCCCAGTAAGACAGCCAGTTCTCCTACCAGATTGGAGCTCACAGCCAGGTAATGGGGATTTAGAACTGTGTCGAGGAGCTTCAGATCATCAGAACCAAGTTTATTTCCCCTTTGGAGCCCACAATGAAGGGCCAGCTTCTGGGGGTTCTAGAATAAAATAGCCTCTCACAAAGGTGAGTCTTTTCCTTCCCTCTGATCACCCTGATTTGGTAGACTTTCTCTCTGAACTCTTAGAGTGATAGCTCTTGGTTCTGTGGAACCCCTTCCACCATACTTGTCCCCAGAACTTGAGAAACATAAGCATAGTCCACACCTAACATGCCTGCTAAATTGCATCTTTGCCTCTCTTTTTCACCTTTATTACATAACATGATGGTTAGGAACCATGCCTTTGAAACAGATGCATTTGAACTTCAGTCTCATTTCTGACTGACTAGCTGAGTGACCTTGGGCAAGTCCCTCAATGTCTTTAAACATCAGTTTCCTCAACTGTAAGTAAAGTCAGTAATGCATAAATTAAATTAGATATCCCTTGCTAGGCATGGTAGCATACACTTGTAATCCCAGCACTTGGGAAGCAGAGACAGGAAGATTATGAGTTTGAGGTCAGCTTGGGCTACATAAGGAGACCCTGTCTCAAGTTAAAAAAAAAAAAAGATATTCCATGTAATGCTTGGCACAAGGCCTTGCATTTGTGAAGTGAGCCAAACGCAGTTAACTTTTTTTGTTACACCATCTTATTGCTGCCAGAATTTCTACCACTGCTATAAGTAATTCTTCAACTCCTGTGATGAATGCTGTTGAGAATATGAGCCCTATCTTCTGGAGGTCCCTAAAACCCCTAATGAAAATTAGCTACTCCTAGGCCGGGTGCAGTGGCTCATGCCTACAACCCCAGCTACTTGGGAGGTAGAGATTGGGGGGATTGGAGTTTGAGACCAGTTGAGGTAAAAAAAATCAGTGAGATGCCATCTCAACCAACAAACTGGGTGTGGTGGAATGAGCCTGTGATCTCAGCTACATGGGATGGGTAAATAGGATCGCGGTCCAGGGAAAAAAATGCAAGACCCTATTTAAAAAATAACTAAAGCAAAAAGGGCTGGGGTGTTGGCTTAAGTGGTAGAACATCTGCCTAGCCAGTGGAGCTCAAACCCTAGTATTGCCAATAAATAAACAATTAAGCCACTCTTCCTAACACATTTAGTTATTTACAATGCTCTTCTATTATTCCAGGGCTTTGGCCCTGGCTTGAGTTTCACTGCCGATTCCTCTCATTGGTCTCCACGCTCCTTGGAGGCTGGGGCCATATGTTGGTCAGCCCAGCACAAGGATTGTACACCAGACATTTCCACACCAGAAAAGAGGCACAGCCAGTGACTGTGTGTGTGGGTAGGGAGCGGGGCATACTCCAGTTAACTGTTGATCTGCTGCCACCCTTGAAATCTGGTTTGGAAAACCACAAACCATCACTTCCATTATACCTTCCGGTGCCCTGGGACCAAGCCCTACCAAGAAGGCTGGGAGACAGGGATCTGGGAGAAGGAGGCCCACTGAGGAAAAGCCTGCCCTGTGAGGTGGGGGGAGGTCCTCTGTGGCAGACTCCTCCTCTGCTCTACCCACCTCCCCCACCGCTCATTCTCCCCTCCCCCTCCTCACAGTGGTAGTGGCTGTCTACTATGTTTTGCCTGATCCTAGTGGGTCTGCTCCCCAGTGGAGCTATATGTAGTGGTCAGTGTCCTGAATTGGGACAGCTGCCGGGTACTTATTTTTGAAACACGTTTAAAGCATTCCATTCCACCAGGACAACCTGAGATCTAAAGGCTGATATTTCCTGTCCTAAAATTGAGTGCCTCCTGGGAATGAACAGGAAATTGGCAGCACAGCTCAGGAGTGAAATTTAGGGGTCCCTGTGCCCCACTAACTTCTGGAAATATTCTGCACCTGCTCCTGTGCCAGGGGGTATTGGGTATCCTACTCAGAGTGGAGGGTGCGGGGGGAGATGAACTGATGTCTAACTCCACCTTATCCAGGAGGACAAATTCAAATGGAGGAAATGCCAGTGGCCTGAAAAGGTACTCACTGTTGAAAAGGCAACTTCAAGGTCATCACCTGACAGGCTTTCTTTGCCCAATCCAGAAAGCCCCAGACAACATCTCACAGGGGCTCATGTGGACACTGTGCGTCATTTATACCACCTTTTTGGGATCTGTCAATTGCCAGACAACTATAGTCTCTAACATAACCAAAGGGTGTCTTGATGGAATTTCTTTCTGAATACAGCTCTTTAAGGACACGTTTTCAAGAAGAGTCATCTTTCCAAGTTTCTTTTCTCTATAAGTACCCCAGCTCCACAAGAAGAACAGATGACAGGGAGATGGCTTCTTTGGGGGAGGAAACCTGGTGTGTTTGGATGAGCCTTCTCTGGATAAAGGCAAGCACCTCCCCTGTTCCTTGCTGGTAGGTAAGCAAGAAGGAGGCAGCCCAGAAAAGTAAAGCTAGGAGATCTCTGAAGGGGATAAATCTCCAGTCCCTAATTAGGGAGCACAGATAAACTCCAAATTAGACCACTGCAGCGTGCAAAGGCAGCATATTCCACTTGCTATCAGAAGGGCTTTGTTGCTCAAAGGCTTGGAGATCTCCACTCTGCAAATTGCTCCAGCCCTTCAGCAGGGGCAGGAGACAGTGGAGAGACGCCCTTTTCCGGTGTCCTGGGCTCCTCAGGGATAAAAGGAGGTAGCACCCTGGTGCCCCAGTCTTGTGTTCTCTAGCCCTTGGTGACTGTATCTCTCCAGCTCTGTCAGCTCCATTTTCTCCACCATGAGTCGGCAACTGAACATCAAGCCTAGCGGTGACAAGTGCAACTTCAGCATGCTTTCTGCAGTGCTGCCGAGGAGGGCTGTGGGTAGCATGGCCTCCTACCGTGCCACTGGCCAAGGAGCTGGGGCTGGCTTTGGCAGTCGGAGCCTCTACAGTCTTGGAGGGAATCGGCATATTTCCTTCAACCTGGCAGGAAGCAGCATTAGGGATGGAGGGTACAGCTTTGGGTATGGCTCTGGGTATGGGGGGGGGCGGGCCAGTGGCTTTGCTGGTAGCATCTTTGGCAGTATGGCTCTGGGGCCTGCATGTCCATCGGTGTGCCCACCTGGGGGCATCCACCAGGTTACTGTCAATAAGAGCCTCCTGGCCCCCCTCAACGTGGAGTTGGACCCTGAGATTCAGAAAGTGCGTACCCAGGAGCGGGAGCAAATCAAGGTTCTGAATGACAAGTTTGCCTCCTTCATCGACAAGGTGAGTCTCATAGGAGGAGGATAAGGCAGTCCAATGAAATGGAGGCATTTTGCCTGCAACTGGTCCCATCTGCTGAGCAATTGTCCATAGAAGGGTACAGCTGAGTCTTGGGATGGAGGTGGGGTCCCTTACCATAGGGGAGAGGAACAGATTTGCAAGGTAAGTAGAGCAAAAGAAGAAATGAATGGTTGTCTTCTTTGGGAACCTTATTGAGAAGGGTGGGAAACTGTATAGAGAGTAGCCTTACCTTGAGAAGGAAGTAAGGGACCCCGGAGGACACCTGAGTCCATCCCCAGCTCTCCAAAGGACATGAGGGCCTAGAGAATCAAGCACCATTCAGAGAGAAGGGCTCGGAGTCCAAGAAGACATTAGCTAGACATAAAGGAGAACATCTCCCAGGACCAGGGTCAGGGTCAGGCAATAGACTCAAGATGTGACGTCTCCCTCTTAGGCGAGTTCTTAACGACTGGTGGTCCAGAAGGCTAGGGAATGAGCACGTATAAAAGGTCTCATTTGCAGCAGATGCCAAGGGTGGAGAGTCAGAACTTGACCAAAAGAACTCTACAAAAACTCCTTATCTGGGAAGTCCATGGGGGCGTGAGAGCATCCATGTGGTTCTAGGTGGCCATTAATTTGGGTTCCAGGTGCGGTTTCTGGAGCAGCAGAACCAGGTGCTGGAGACCAAGTGGGAGCTTCTGCAGCAGCTGGACCTCAGCAACTGCAGGAAGAACTTGGAACCCATTTATGAGGGTCACATCAGCAGCCTGCGGAAGCAGCTGGAGACACTGTCTGGGGACAGAGTGAGGCTGGACTCAGAGCTGAGGAGCATGCGGGATGTGGTGGAGGACTACAAGAAGAGGTGAGCAGGCCCTGCCAAAGGATCATAGGGTCACATACCCAGTCTCTGTGCCATTATTTTCAGGAGTGCAGGGAGCAAGTTCCAATATCAGGAGCTCATGTCCCCTTCTCTGATTAAGGGGAGAGGGGTCCACCCTGTGTGGTGAGAACATCCTACCTGGTTAATAGGTAGGAGCTCCTGTGCTCACTGACCCACTGAGTGGTTCAGTTGTTGGTTGGGGAGCCCCTTAGGTGTCTGTGTATTTTCCTGGAGTGCGAGTGAGCTGCAGTGAAGTAACCCAGGGATTTCTTTCTCCTACCACCAGCCTCCCAGTGCTCACTCACCTGGAGACCCAGCTGGGTCCCTTGCAACCCAAGCACTCACCTAGCCAGCAGGAAGAGGAGGTAAGTTGACCAAAGGGACTGAGGTCTTTGCTGTCTTCTGTCCACAGATACGAGGTGGAGACTAACCGGCGCACAGCAGCTGAGAATGAGTTTGTGGTGCTCAAGAAGGTAAGCAGAGAAAAGCCTACGATCGCTGGTCTCTCTTGCATCACCATCCTAAACAAATCTGCTCCACGCTTCAGCTGGGGCCTCCAGGGACCTGCCTGATTGCAGCTCATAGTCCTAGCCTCCAGTGAGTTGGAGAGGAAGAACACAAACCCAGGAATTGGACAGGGACAGACAGGGGAGAATCCTGGTCTAGGAATTGGAAAACCCTGGTTCAGCTTAGCTTTCCTGTGTGACCTGAAGAGACTCGGCACCTCTCTGAGCTTTGTGTTTCTGGGTGTGCCAGAGGAAAAGCAGGCCCTGTTTCCCTTTTCCTATTTTCAAAGGTTCAATGAGTTTGAGAATAAATTGATGGTGAGTGATTTATTTGTCAATATGCTTCCCTTTGTGGGCAAAGTGTAGAAAGTCAGATGGCTTTGGGACAAGGGCAGAGTCAGGGTAACCGATGGAATGAGGCTTGTGTTGACTGACAATTGTGGGACCTCTTGATAGGACGCAGATGCAGCTTACACAGTCAAGGTGGAGTTGCAGGCCAAAGTGGACTCTCTAGAAAAGGACATCAAATTCCTCAAGTGTCTGTACGATGCGGTAAGGACACTCCTGTCCCCCACCCCTGCCTCTTTCCAGATGGGGCATCACCTGGCTCTTCCAGCAGGCAGCCAATGGGAGGGATTTAGGATCACCACAGGGAAAGATGTCTGGCTGGAAAGGTGCAAATTTCAGTGTCAGTTGATCATGGAGGAATGAATCTTGTCCCTGGACACAGAGGAGACAATTGATATGGCCACAGTGGTGGCCTTTCCTACAGGCAGGAAAAGAAATAACCCCATGAGGTCCTCTGGGGTCACAGATTCTTGGGTCTGGTGAAACTGTAGGAGACACATGCTCCTGCTGTCTTCTGCTGTGTGTGGCACTTGCTGACTGCTGTGACCTGTTCTCCCTTGGCCCTTCAGATACATCTGCAGAAGGCACTTCCCTCACTTTATCCCTGTGCATCCCAGTGACACATTCTGCCAGAGACACAGGCCCAGAAGACTGAGGGGACAGAAGTGGGATCGCTGGGGACCTGACTCTGTCCCCATCTCCCAACTTAGGAGATAGCCCAGATTCAGACTCATGCCAGTGAGACCTCTGTCATCCTGTCCATGGACAACAACCGGGACCTGGACCTGGACAGCATCATCGCGGAAGTCCGGGCTCACTATGAGGACATTGCCCTGAAAAGCAAAGCTGAGGCCGAGGCTCTGTACCAGACCAAGGTGGGCTCTAGCTTGGTCTTCTTTCTTCCTGGGAAAGGGCCCCTCCACCACAGAATGTGAGGGAGACCACCAGAGATGTGCTGAATGAAAGAATAATTACTACCGAGGGTCCAATGGCATTCTGCCCAAAAGAAACTCTCAGTAGAGTGTTATTAAAAAAAAAAAAACTGGTGTGGATGGGAATATCTAACAGAGAGATGGGCAATCCTCTGAGGGAGGAGAGTGTGAGCTGTTTCAATCATAAAACAAATGCATTAACTGGAATGGGGCCATGCTGCCACAGGGCAGAAGGACAGTCACAAGCATGGAGCAGAGTAGCTATGCATAAGCTGGGGTTGGGTGGGGAGTAAGAGAAGGGGAAGCTCTGAACTTTATTCAGATTGGTGTAGGAAGATCCCAAGAGCAAGCAGAATTCTAGAATGTTCTGAGTAATGCAGTTATGCTTTGGGGCAAGCCCTCTTGGGCTGTCAAATACAAAACCCTTTACCTTTGCACTCTCCAGGGACCCTGCTCTTGTGTTCCTTTTCACAGTCAGATCCCAATTGTGTCAGTCAGCTTTCCCATTGCTATGACAAAATACCTGAGAAAATAAGGAGTAAAGGTTTATTTTGGTTCATGGTTACAGAGATTTCAGTCTATGGTATTTGGCCCTGTGGCAGACCAGTACATCATGACAGGAGCATATGGCAGAGGAGGCTGCTTATTTCATGGCAGCCTGGAAGCAAATATAGAGAGAAAAGAGGCCCGTGTCACAATATCCTCTTCAAGGGTACACACCCAGTGATCTAACTTCCTTCTACTAGATCCTACCTATAAGGTTCCACAACAGTACCAGAATGAGGCCCAAGCCATTAACGCATGGGTCTTTGAGGGACATTCCAGAGCCACTTGCTGTTAGCACTGCTGACAGCAGCTGAGGTTCATCCTCACTGTCTCCTCCTGTCCCTTATTCCCCATTGACGGACATGCCATTCCCCCTTTCCCAGAAGACTGGGTATGGGTTGGAGAGAAGCTACCAATCCCACCCATCCTGCCTGTGACCCCCCACCCCCCAAGGGCATGTGAGATTCTGGGCTTTCCTTTCCTCTGCTCTGTGGCCAGGAAAGTACTTCAGGAGAATGTGAGTTTCAAGAGAGCAGGGTGCTCACCTGTCCTGTGCACTGCTGGATCTTGGTACCTAGGACAGAGTGAGACTTCTAGAAGATAAGTGAATGAAGGAGAGGATCAGAGCTTTCTCATGCTGGGGAATGACTAATCAGTGCAAATTGCATTTCCCTCTCTAGCCCAGGAAAGACTGCAGACCAGGGTGAGAAAGGAGGAAAACTTAGAGGATGGGGGACTTCTTGGTTACAGCTGAAGGATGCTCAGACATTGGCTCCACCACCTTCACTCCAGGGTCAGGCCTGGCTTGCCCTAGTGGACAGAGATTGCCCAGGACCCTTTCTCTCCCTGTCTCATCATCACCTTCCTCCCTCTGAAAACTAGATCCAGGAACTGCAGCTGGCAGCTGGACGGCATGGGGATGACCTCAAACACACCAGGAATGAGATGTCGGAGCTTAACCGGCTCATCCAGAGGATCCGCTGTGATATTGCCAATGTGAAGAAGCAGGTGAGCAGTGACTCTGTGAAGAGTTCGAGTGTCATCTCCCATGATGGAGACACTGGGACCCACCTCTGAGGGAGAAATAAGTCTCTCCTCCTGGGCTTAGGAGCTGCAGGCCAACCATATTCTCTCTTTCCCACACTGCCTTGTTTCTTGCCATTAGAATTGGGAAAACTTAAGCCTATTCTCTGGCTACTCCAGTTTACAGATAAGGTGCCTGGGCTAGAAAGGGCAAGTGACTTGCCCAGGGCCCCCAGCTAGTCCTTCAGAAGGCTAGGATTCAAGCTCAGCTGTTCTCTTGTTTGTGATTTTTTGTCCCACAAACCTGCCCCACATCCCTACAGATGTTCCCCTCTGAGAACAGGACCTGTGTGCAGGGTGCATGGGGTGTGACAGAACCCTCTGCAGCCATGTTCTTGTCCTCATAGTGGGGCATGACCCAGGTGATAGAGGGACCCAGCACCAGATAAAGCCCTCCTAGATTTCCATGACTTATGCCACAGGACCCTTTCCATTTTACCTGGTCCTGTTTACCTGGGGACCCTCTCTTACCTGAAAGCAGCAAATCCTAAATGCTGTGTCAGAAGAGAGATGACTTCAGAAGTCGGGGTGAAGAGTGGATGAGGATCTTCCTGGAGCCTCCCGAAGAACCAGGTCAACCAACCATTCCAATGTTAGAATTGCCAAACGGACAGATCAGAGCCCATTCTCTTGCCTGTACCCCAGAATCTCCAATGCAACTTGGGGGAGCTCAGAGACAACTCTGGAGTTTGATGACTCATGGACACCATGAAGACCCCTACTTCCCCATTAGCACTTGGCATCACAGTGCCCCAAGGTGTTCATGAGTCCAGTGTCTGAGCTTGTGGCTGTAAGTTAGGGCTATTCTAAGGGAAGTATCCCTTACCAATCCAGGCCAGATGTGGACACATTTACACACATACTCACTCCTGGGGTAATGTCCTGCAGCAGAAATCTGACCACAATGGGATCTTGGCATGCTGTTTGATCCTCAGGGTTAGCACAGCTAGAGTCTAGGGCACAATTCTCCTAGACCTGCTGTACTTGAATCTATGGCCATTGGTGGCACTAGGCAGCTTTTCATAGGTTGAAGTTTCTTCCTGCACTTTGAAATGCAAGTGCTCTCATAGCTTTCCAAGACAACTCCTTGAATCATTCACCTGCATTAGAAAATAGGGAAGCCACGGGGTCTGCTCTACAGCTGCTCCTTATCTGTCTAATGAGGGAGTTGTGCCACCTGCCCCGTATGATCTAGACATTATTTTACATCTTGCTGATCTCCCTGTTCTCTGCCCCTCAGTGCTCCAACCTGGAGACGGCCATAGCTGATGCTGAGCAGCGAGGAGACAGTGCACTCAAGGACGCCCGGGCCAAACTGGATGAGCTGGAAAGCGCCCTGCACCAGGCCAAGGGGGAGCTTGCTAGGTTGATGCGTGAGTACCAGGAGCTCATGAGCCTGAAGCTGTCCCTGGACATGGAGATCGCCACCTACCGCAAGCTGCTGGAGGGTGAGGAGTGCAGGTGAGTACAGGAGGGTAACCTTGTGGTGCCAAGGGAAAAGGGGCTACGAGAATTCCCTCTGGCTAAGGGGCCATTGGAGAGCTGGGAGATGAGAATCAGCAACGCTGGTGACACCATGAATGAGGGAGGCAGTGGTTTGACAGGTGAACTCAGCGGCACTTCCTGAAAGGGGGTGACAGTTGAGAGCCATGAACACAGGAGACTGGGTGGTACCACGAACAGAGCCCATGGGGTCTGTCAGACTTTGCCATATGCTAGCTGTATGGTTCTGGTAAATCATGGACGGTCTCTATTTTCTCACCTATAGAATAAAGAGTCTAATCACCACCATGTTGGAGAATATATTAAACTGACATACATGAAAGCAAAAGTCCATTAAGACTTAGCCGAATCTAGGCACTTCCCTGAGGTTTTATCCTTTAATTTTCTGTCTTACAGGATGTCTGGTGAGAATCCATCACCCGTGAGCATCTGTGAGTATCCTTGAGATAGTTGGGTTGGGAAAGCCAGGGACTCTGGGACAGGGAAATGCTACCTCCACTCATTGTCTCACCTCATGCAGAAGTGTCTGCCTTGTGATGGTTCTCTGGTTTCAGAGAAACCTTTTGTAACCTGGCAAAGTGACTGAAATTGCATCCACCCCTCTCTTTGCTGCCTTTTCCCCTGGGGATGTCATCTAGAGATGACACATGTCCTACGTGGTCCTCCTGTCACACAGTCTGGTGGATTATGGGGTCTCAATCATCTTGTCTGTGTGTCTCGGCTGCTGAGGACTGTCATGGGATCAAATAGTGTGTCCTCAGAGACAGCAGTTACTGTAGTTGTCACTTGCAGATTGACACCTGCTCTTCCCTCCCTGATCTTGGCTCTTCCTCCTCAGCTGTCATCAGCAGTGGCAGCTATGGTTATCACCCCAGCTCTGTGAGTGCCGACCTTGGGGCCAGCAGTGCAGCTGGCAGCCCCAACAGTCCCCGAAGTGGTGGCCAGACCAAGACCCGAGGGGCACGAGCAGGAGACCTCATGGAATCCCAGGACAAGAGTGCCCCAGTCAGCCCCCAAGCCGGGAAGACCACTCGATAAATGTGCTGTCCACTCACCTTAGCACCTAGAAGAAAGGATGTCTTTGCCACTACCCAAAGATGCCTGCCTCACCACATTCACCAACCCTGAGTTTTACAACTGTCCATAGTACACTCAGCTATTTCACATCATGTCTTATCTTACTTTCAAGTTCTGATTGATGCAGTCACCCTCTATCCAGTGGGTCCCATGTGGATTTTATGACTTCTTATTTTCCTTGCTGCCTTCAGTTGGCACGAGGCTTTGGGAGCACAAGCCATCATTACCTTCTTGGCTCGAAGCTAGGTAGGATCATCCCTACAGAAGAGAGAGAGAGGAGGGAAGACAGTTTTGTTCTGTGGTTAGGTCAAGTTCTCAATTGTTTGAAAGGTTTTACTCCCTCTGCCAGCATGGTGGAGTGAACCTGGAACCATGCAAGTAGGAGGCGAGAAGTTAGACAGCCTTCCTCTGCCCCACAGGAAAGGTCTGTGGGATGATTCCATTATTTAAGAGAAAATGTGTACATCCTCAGACCACCAGATGCAGATGATTCACAAAGCCAAGTGGAGGAGAATGGGGGATTTTCTTGTCTCACCCACTTTCACTTGTCAAGCACTTACTACGCCCCAGGCACCCTGCAGTGCCTCTAATTCTCATGTAACCCTGTAAGGAAGGTGCATTGGCATTCTTAGACAGCCAGGGAGCGTGTTCCTCTGAGAGCTGCGGAAACTGCCAGCTGAGGCTGGGCTCACTGCAGGGTCCATGCTCTTCCCATGACTGTCTCTTTAATGGAGGGAATGTCAAATTCATGGTTCTTGATGTGGGCAACTTGCCTTTTGTCAACAACATGGCCTGTGATTGGTCCTTGGTCCTTCTTTCTGGGGCTCCGTCCTAAGGTAGCTTCTGACTCTCAATTGCCATTGTCATGAGCTGAGTCCAGTGAGTGAACTTGATCTTGTCTCTGTGTGTTATCATCCAGCCAAAAGTCATGGCCAATGCTGTAAATAGTCTTCAAGATGGCACCACCTAATCCTTCCCTTGCTTGAATTAAAGATGATGAATTTCTGCTGTATGTTCAATAAACTGCTCTTGAGTGACATCAGTCTGTCAATCTCTCCAAGTGTCCCACTGTCTAATGATGATGTGACCACAGGTGTATGTGAACAGCCCTAGTGAGCAGCTGGATGCCAACCCCAAGGAGGCTACTGAAGAGATGGTCTCAGATTGCAGAGAGAAAAGAGACACATTCAAAGTTGAGCACTAATGCAAATCAGGAAAATGTAGCCCAGTGCAGCAATGCTGAGGCAGGACCAGAATGGTGAGGCTAAGCAAGGAAGACTTCTTGGAAGAAGAGAGTTTAATCAAATAATGAGAAAGATGGCCACCTGGCCTCCTAGAGGGATAATTTAAGTCGTGCTATCACAGTAGGCCTGAACACAGGTTTTGTGGGCTTATTTGGTAGGAGGTCTCAGATTTTCTGAAGTTAGTAGTGGGGCTGGAGGGGTTTCTAAGTCCTTCAGATTTTTCTGACAGAATTTAGCTTTCTAGCCAGCTTTCTGATCAATCTTGTTACTGGTGTGCTCAGAGGTGTTGCCCATACAGGCCTCAGGACAGCAGGGTAAGGCCTAAGGAGGGTGGGCCTCCATTTCCCTCCAGGTGCCTTTCATGTGTTGAGGAGTCTTCATCTGTGTGTGCCCAGTTGCAATAAACCTTGGGGAGCACAAGTGTGCAGGAGCCTGGTGAGCTTTCTGCCCAGTTCCTCTCTCTGGTGTCACTTTTGTCATTACTGTGGGTACTTGGCTAGGGCCGTAGGAGTTGTGGAGTTTATTCCAGTTCTGCCACTAACTGGTCAGTGAGAACACTTACAAGTCAGATCTGATGAAAGCTATGGATCTTCCCCTGAACAGTGCACTGCATCTTGTGTCAATGTTCAGAGGTTCATAGGCCCCTGAGGCCCATCCATGGACTGTTGGGTCCGGCACCCCAGGTGAAAGGCCCCAGGATCAGGTGCCCCCGGGGTTCTCTGCAGCATTAATGCTATGCCTTTCAAAGGACCAGATTCTCAGCCAGTGGTCCAGGAAGAGGGGCCGTGGTGAAGGAGTGAATTGGATCCACAAGTTGAAGTAGCTTTGAGAGGAGCACAGGAACCATCAGTAGGGTCACCAGCTCCCAGGCTGCAGGGTGGGCATGACTTCAGCTGCTGGACATGACTGCCCTGGCTGGGGCTGCTAGGCTGTAAGGCCAGAAAGCTGTGCCCAGCCCTATGCATGGGTGAAGGCCCAGGGGTAAGTAATGTGATGCCCTGCAGCCTCTTCTTGGGTGCTGAGGGGGTCAGAGGGCAGCTTCCCAGGCTGCAGCTTAACTGCCCAGGGAAAGGGGCAGACTCTTGGCCACCCAGGCTTAATGAAGTCTTGACAAGGGTGCAGGAGTGCCTGTGCTTTGCTCTAGGACCACTGTGGGGACTGTTTGAAGCCCAAGAGGGGGAAATGATGGAGGTGCACCACAGAGGTCTGTTCATTTCAGGCCCATTCATCTATGGCCAGTTTGACAAGGATCTCAAGACAATTCAATGGGGGAAAGAATAATTTCTTCCACAAATGGTCCTGGGATGATTGGATAGCCATGTGCCAAAGAATGAAGTTGAACCTTTACTTTACTCCATACACAAAAATGTGTCAAAATGGATCAACAACCTAAATATAAGAGTTAAAACTATAAAACTATTAGGAGAAAATATAAGAGTAAATCTTCACAACTTTGGGTTTCATAATGGATTCTTAGCTATGATACCAAAAGCATAAGCTGAAAATTGGAATATAGATACATTAGACTGCATGAAGGTTAAAAACTCTTGTACATTAAAGGCACTATCAGGAAAGTGAAATGAGGTGGGTGTGGTGCTTCAGATCTGTAATCCAACTCTTGGTGCTGAGGCAGGGGGAGGATGAGTTCAAGGCCAGCCTGGGCTACAAACAAAAGGAAGGGAGGAAGGAAAGAAGGAAGGAAGAGAGGAAGGAAGGAAGGCAGGGAAAGAAAGAAAGAGAGAAAGAAAGAAGGAAAAAAGAAAGAAGGAAAAGAAAGAAAGGGAAAAGACAACCTATACTGGATAAAGCATATATCCAATAGGGGTCTGGTATTCAGAATATATAAGGAAGTCTTACAATGCAACAAGAAAAAGACTACCTAGTTAAAAATGGGCAAAGGACTTTTATCTAGAGAAGATACACAAATGGCTATTGGGCAGATAAAATACACTCAACGTGATTAGACATTAGGGAAATGGGAATCAAACTCATGAGGAGCTAATTTACACCCATTAAGATAACTATAACTTAAAAAATAACAAATGTTGGTGAGGATATAGAGAAGTTGGAACTCTTGTACACTGCTGATGGAAATGTCAATGGTTCAGCCGCTGTGGGAAACAGTTTGGAACTTCCTTAGGATGGTTGTGTGACCTGACAATTCCATTCACAGAGATATATTCCAAAGAATTGAAATCAGTTGTTGAAAGAATGTGCTCCACCCATGCTTATTGCGGCACTATTCACAATAGCCAAGTTATGGAAACAGCCAAGATGCCCCACCACTGACGAATGGATTAAGAAAATGTGGTAGATACCACATTTACACAATATACACAATGGAATTTTATGCAGCCATGAAGAAGAATGAAATGTTATCATTCACTGGTAAATGGATGGAATTGGAGAACATCATTCTGAGTGAGGTTAGCCTGGCCCAAAAGACCAAAAATCGTATGTTTTCCCTCATATGTGGACATTAGATCAAGGGCAAACACAACAAGGGGATTGGACTTTGAGCACATGATAAAAGTGAGAGCACACAAGGGAGGGGTGAAGATAGGTAAGACACCTAAAAAATTAGTTAGCATTTGTTGCCCTTAATGCAGAGAAACTATAGCAGATAGCTTAAAAGCAACTGAGGCCAATAGGAAAAGGGGACCAGGAACTAGAGAAAAGGGGAGATCAAAAAGAATTAACCTAGAAGGTAACACACACGCACAGGAAATCAATGCGAGTCAACTCCCTGTATAGCTATCCTTATCTCAACCAGCAAAGACCCTTGTTCCTTCCTATTATTGCTTATACTCTCTCTACAACAAAATTAGAAATAAGGGCAAAATAGTTTCTGATGGGAATTGAGGGGGTGGGGGGGAGAGGGAGGAGGCGGAGTGGGTGGTAAGGGATGGGGTGGGGGCAGGGGGGAGAAATGTCCCAAGCCTTGTATGCACATATGAATAATAAAATAAAAAAAAAAAGAAAGAATGTGCTCACACACATGTCCACGTCAGTACTGTTTGTAGTTACCAAAGGTGAATCGCCCAATGCCCATCAATGAATGAATGGATAAAAAATAGTACATACTTCCGTGAATAGTTTTTAGTCATAAGAAGGGAAGACATATTGATAACTGCTTCAATGTGGGTGAACCTCAAAAACATTATGTGAAAGTACTCAATCAAAAAAGATGACATATGGTATGATCCATTCATAGAAAATGTCCAGACTAGGTAAATCCACATAGACAGAATGCAGCGTGGTAGTTGCCAGGGTTGGGGAAGAAGGGATGGGGGTGGTGTGGCTGACAAAGGGTTCAGGGTTTCCTTTTTGGGTGGTGAATATGTCTTGGAACTAGACAGAGTTGTATACCATTGTGAATATATTAATGCTATTGGAATTTTCACTTTAAAATAGCTAATTTTATATTATTATTATATATTAATTTTATAAATTTCTCTTCAATAAAAAAAAGTCAAAATTGGCAGCGTAGCAGAGAAAAGGCCAGAGAAACCATGTCCCTGGGCCTTGCTCTCAGTCTCTCTCAACATATGGCAAATGGCAGTCTGGAATAAAGACAAAAACAGCCGTCCAGGGCCAGCTGGGGATGGAGACAACCTACCCTCTATTCACCTGGCTGAGGCAAGCCTGGGGAACTTGGGGCCTCTGAGGAGCAGGTCTTCTGATGGCCGAGAGTTGAAGGTCCCTCAGGATAGTTAC